AAAAAGCTCTCTCTCTCTCTCTACGCCCCCCATGCACACACACAGAGTCTCTCAACCTCTCTCGCATATGTGCACACACATCCACACACCCATTGCCCCATGACAGAGATTCTTAGCTCAGAGAGCACCAATGAGGAGCCCCATGAGTGACCTGCTGGTCTCCCTTCCCTTGCAGGACAATCTTTCTGTGCCTCTGACAGAGGAGGGCCTGGATGGCTCCTCAGGTGTGCTGTTTCCCTTCTAAGAAGCAGACACCAACATGCTCTACGTGGTGGGAAAGGGAGACAGAAACATTTGCTACTATGAGATGAGTGCCGACAAACCTCACCTGAACTACCTAACCGAATACCCCTCCTATTACCCACAGAGGGGGATCGGTGTTATGCCAAAGAGAGGTCTCAACGTGTCCACCTGTGAAATCTTCCCTACTACAAGCTGATTACAACCAAAAGCTTCATCGAGCCTGTATCCGAGATTGTATCCTGGCGGGTAAGAGTGGTGGGGCTACTGCAAGGGAAGAAGAAAAACATTAAACATTAAATTAAAAAAAAAAAGAGGGGAAAAAGCTCCTTTAGATGTGGTGGTCAGGATGAGCTTCCCAAATAAATGACATTCCCTGTACCCCCAATTTTTATTTATTGATTTGAGAGAGAGAGAGAGAGAAACAGCATTTTCTTGGATATGCTTGAATATACCCTGACCAGATATTGAACCTGCAACTCTAGCATATCAGGAGGATGCTCTAACCAACTGAGCTACCCACCCAGAACCTCAAATAAGTGACATATAAACTGAGACACGAACGATATAGAATACATGGGGAAGGAGGTGGGGTGTATTCCAGGCAGGGGAAGGCATGTGCAAAGGTCTGAGGCAAAAGTTGGCAGGTAAAATTGAAGAGGTAGGAAGGGGCAGGTCTTCCTGCTGCTGACTTTGCAGCTTAGGTCTGCTTAGGTGTTGATTTTATTCCCAGTGCAATGAGAAGCCACCGAAGATTTTAAGGAGAGTCAGATCATCTAATTTGCATTTTAAGAAGATCCATGCCTCTGCCCTGGCCCATGTGGCTCAGTTGGTTGGGTGTCATCCTGTGCACCGAAAGGTCCCCTGTTTGATTCCCAGTCAGGGCACATGCCCAGGTTGCGGGCTTGATCCCAGTCAGGGTGCATGTGGGAGGCAGCTGATGGATCGAGGTTTCTCTTTCACATTGATGTTTGTCTCTCTCTCTCTCTCTCAAACCATATTTTAAAAAAAGAAGATCCCTGTCTCTAGGGATGCCTGGAGGGATGGTAGTGGAATTTGAAAAAAGGAAGTTTTTGATTTTACTTTTTTTGAACATAGAGTTTTGTTGTTTTATAGTACTCATTTGAATAAAACTTTGAAACACTTCTGAGTGAATTGAAAACTTCACATACAGAGAGGACTGCCACATTCTTGGAACACAGACTCAACATCATCAAGATATTCGTTCTCTCTAAATTAATCTAAAAATGCCGCAAAGAAGAGGGTGGAAGGATGGAAGGAAAAAGGGGAAGGAGATTAAGATGTACAAACTGACAGTTATAAAGTATGTCATGGGCATGAATAATATCATGGGAATAATATTGTAATAACTATGTGTGGTGACAGATGGTTACTAGACTTATAAGGGTAATCACTTTGTAAGGTATATAAATGTTAAATCACTATGTTGTACACCTAAAACTGATGTAATATTGTATGTCAATTATAATTTAAAATAAATAAAAAATAAATAACTATTCACCATAATCCCAATAAAAATACCAAGATAATTCTTTTTCTGGGTACATGTCGAGCTGATTTCAAAGTTCATATGAAAAAATAAGCTAGCAAGAATGGCCAGGAAAATTCTGAACAGGAAGAATATGGAGGAGAGACTGTCTTACTAGATAGTAAACCATATTCTTGGACTGCAGTAATTAAAACTATAGCACTAACACCTGTAAGGACATACAGATCAAAGGATAAAAACAGAAAGTAAAGAAATAGGTGCAAATACATGTAGACATCTAGTATATGATAAAGTAACTTTTTTTTTTCTCATTCATCTTCAGATAGAACGAGAGGGAGAGAGGGAGGAAGAGAGAGAAACATCGACGTGAGAGAAACACATTAACTGGCTGCCACCCACATGACCAACAAGGGCCAGGGACAAACTGCAACAGAGGTACGTGCCCTTAGTGGGAACCGAACCCGGTCTCTCTGGACCTCAGGCCGACGCTCTAACCTCTGAGCCAAACTGGCCAGGGCTAAAGTAACATTTTTTTTTATCTTTACCCAAGGACATTTTTTTTGCACTTATCTTCAGATAGAGTGAGAGGGAGAGAGGGGTGAAGAAAGAGAGAGAAACATCAATGTAAGAAAGACACATCGACTGGTTGCCACCCACAAGACCCCAACGGGGGCGGGGACAAACTGCAACCAAGGTATGTGCCCTTAGTACAAACCGAACCTGAGACTCTCTGGTCGACAGGCCAGTGCTCTAACCGCTTAGCCAAACCATCTAGGGCTAAAGTAACATTTTTAAATTTAAAAAATGTGGATTGTTCAATAATGGTTTTAAAACCACTAGGTATCTACTAGAAAAAAAGTAAAGTTGATCCCAATTTAAGGTTTTTTTTTCCACTAGGGTAGCTTTCTTTAAAAAAAATTGTATTCGCCATTTATTTTTTTTTCTTAATTTAACTTTTTAATATTAGAATAAGTTCTAGCTGGATCAAAGATTTAAACATAAAAACAAACAAAAAATTTTTAAAAAATGAAAATACCAGAGAAGAGTATGTGGGAATATTCTTTTATAAACTCCTGGGGTGAAGGTCTTTCTAATAAAGACATAAAATCCAGAATATCTTAAAAAGTTACACTTGAGGATGTAAAAATAAAAATATGCATCATGAAAAAAAGCATAAACAGAGACAGTGACCACCCACAAACTGGGGAAACAGTGTATAAGGCATGTATGAAAGCTGATTTCTCTAATATATAACAACTTTCACAAATCCATCAGCAAAAGACCAACAGCTTGGTGTGAAAATGAGCAAAGGATATAAAAACAGCTTATAGAAAAGGAAATACAAATCATGCTTGCACAAATAAAAAGATGCTAACCTCATTCTTAAGAAAGATGGATATTAAAAGAAAAATAAATGACTATATTTGATTTATAAAGTTGTTAAAGATCAAAAAGGTTGATAAAAACCTGTATGGGTCAAAGGATGGGGAAACAGGTCTCTTACATGGCTGGTAGGAACATAAATTATATAGAGGGCAATCCATATAGAGGGCAATTTGACAATATCAATCAAAATTACAAACACAGATATCTGTTGACCCATATTTCTCTTCTGGAGATTTAACCTAATAATATTCGCACTTGTAGGAAATTACACAAGTACAAGGTTTCTTACTGTGGCATTATAGTAGCCCTCCCCTACCTTCCAGGGTTTCAGTTACTCCTGGTCAAAAAGATTAAATGGAACATTTCTTATTAAATGCAAATAAACAATTCATAAGTTTTAAATTGTGCACTGTCTGAGTAGTGTGATGAAATCTCATGGGCCTGCTCGTTTAATCCCAGGACTAAAATCATCTTTTTGTCCAGCATATCCAAGCTGTATACCCTACACACTGGTTAGTTACTTAGTAGCCATCTTGGTTATCATATTGACTTTTGCCATATCACAGTGCTTGTGTTCAAGTAACCTTTGTTTTACTTAATAATGTAGCCTTCACATAACTTTTATTACAGTATATTGTTATAATTGTTCTATTTTATTAGTTACTATTGTTATCATAGGTATGTATATATAGGGAAAAAAGTACTATATCTAGGATTTGGTACTATCCATGATTTTTGGCATTCACTGGGGGTCTTGGAACATATCCCTGTGGATCAAGGGGGACTACTCTACTTGTAAGAGCAAATACATTGTGGTACAGTGGGCAATAGAATACTATTGAACTGTTACAAAATGAAGAAACTGCCCATCACCTGAAGTGTAAAGTTCTGCAATGGCATTTATTTATTTATTTATTTATTTATTTATTTACTTATTTATTTATTTAATTCATCCTCACCTGAGGATATTTTTCCATTGATTTTTAGATAGAGTGGAAGGAAGGGAGAGAGAGAAACATTGATGTAAGAGAGACACATTGATTGGTTGCCTCCCGCATGATCCAGACCAGGGCTGGGGATCAAACCTACAATCTAGGTACATGCTTGTGACCAAGAATCTAAACCTGTGACCCTCTTGTCCGTAGGCTGACGCTCTAATTGCTGAGCCAAACCTATCAGGGCAAAGGCTTATTTTTATTTTTATTATTTTTTAAAATATGTTTTTATTGATTTTTTTTAGAGAGAGGGGGAAGGAGAGAGAGATGGAAACATCCATGTGAGAGAGAAACATCGGCTACCTTCTGCACGCCTCCTGCTGGGGACAAAGCCTGCAACCAGGACATGTGCCCTGACTAGGAATCGAATTGGGACCTCTCAGTCCATGGGACGATGCTCAATCCACTGAGCCACACCAATTGGGCAAAGGCATGTTTTTAAATTTAAAAAAAGAAGGCAGAAGTGTATGTGTAGTATTCTGCCTTTTAAAAAAATATATGGAAAATAAAAGAATATATATTGGCTTATAAGTATAAACATACACAAACTCTGAAATGTTATATAAGAGGTAATAATAAAAGTTAGTTTTGGGGGATAAGTTAGAAACTCATGATTAGAAACATGGGTGATAGAGGAAATTAGAAAATGCCCGGCTGGTGTGGCTCAGTGGTTGAGGATCGACCCACGCACCAAGAGGTCACCAGTTCGACACCAATTAGGGACATGCCCAGGTTGTGGGCCTGATCCCCAGTGGGGGCCATGCTGGAAGCGGCCAGTCAATGTTCTCTCTCATCGATGTTTCTGTCTTTCTCCCCCTCTCCCTTCCTCTCTCTCTAAAAATCAATAAAGGAAAAAAAAATTTAAAAACCCATTTTGATGGTTTATGATGGGCCCTTCTCTGTAGGCCTCTCATAGTGCACCCACGCCAGCATAATCACAGCCTCGAATCACTGCCCAGCCTCCTTACCTGTGAGCTGTGAGTACTGAAGGAGGTTGTACAGTGGGGGGAGGGAGGGACACAAAACATTTTGAACCAGGTGACTTATTTTTATAGCAAATTGAATTGAAAAACAAGGAAGGCCTATATATCCTGATATAGGGTCTCCAAGATTACAATCTCTAAATTAAGTGAAAAAAATCAAGGAGTAGAACAGTAATCATAATAAACTATTTTGTTTATATCTATATCTATATGCCTCTTCACACACGTGCTTCTCGATGCACAGGCTATCCCTACAATTGCATGTAGAAAAGGTGTAACATGAATTGCTTCTGAGGTGGGGAATTGGATGGCTGGGATGCAGAGTGGTAGGGGAACATTTCCCTCTATACCTTTTTGTGCTTTTTAAAATGAATGTGCTCAACCTAACATAGGAGCACCAAAATACATTAAAAAACTTCTAGAGGACTTCAAAGGAGAAATCAACAGCAATAAAATCATAGTAAGGGACTCAACACCCCGCTGACATCACTGGATAGATCCTCTAGACAAAAAATTACCAAGGAAACAGAACTCTAAATGATGCATTAGATCAAATGGATTTAATAGATATCCATAGAGAATTACATCCCAAAACTGCAGAATTCACATTCTTCTCAAGTGCACATGGGACATTCTCAAAGACAGACCACATGATAGGACAAAAACTAAGTCTCTACAAGTTCAAGAAGATTGAAATCATATCAAGAAACTTCTCAGATCACAATAGCATGAAACTGGAAATCGATTACAATAAAAACACTCAAAAACATTCAAACACATGGATTGGCTCAGTGGATCCATAGTGCTTGGCCTGGTAAGACACTCAGGGAGTAAAAACTGACTGCTTAGTGTAATCAGTGACTGAGACAGCTAGCATGAAACTGGTCTTAGATACGTTTCTTAGAATCTTAGAATTTTCTGTCATGACCCATTTCAGGACTCTGTTAGATTCTGTGCTTAGCACTACGCCAGACAATTAGATGTATCAAAGAAATTCTCTAGGGATTGCCTTACCTGACACTTTAGTAGGACCTTAGTGCACATATTTGTTGAATAACACATCTCTAAAAAGCTGGGGAAAATGTGAAAATGGTTTTGGGAGAAAGCTCCTAAGGCAGGCTTAAACAGTAATTGCTTTAATTGTCAAATCAGTTTTTAAAAAATCATTGATTGATTGATTTGAGAGAGGAAGGAAGAGAGGAAGAGAGAGAAACATTGATTTGTTTCCAGATCTTAGCTATTGTAAATAGTGCTGCTATGAACATATGGGTACATATATTCTTTATGATTGGTGTTTCAGGTTTCTTAGGGTATATTCCTAGAAGTGGGATCAATGGGTCAAATGGCAGTTCAATTTTTAACTTTTTGAGGTAACACCATAGTGTTTTCCACAGTGGATGCACCAGTCTGCATTACCACCAGCAGTGTACAAGAGTCCCCTTTTTTCCACACCCTCGCCAACACTTGTTGTTTGATGAGTTGTTGATGGCGGCCATTCTGGCAGGTGTGAGGTGATACCTCATTGTTGTTTTAATTTGCATCTCTCTGATGATTAGTGATGTTGAGCATTTCTTCATATGTCTCTTGGCCATTTGTATGCTCTTTTTGGAGAGGTGTCTATTTAGGTCCTCTGCCCATTTTTTAATTGGGTTTTCTGTCTTCCTTTTGTTGAGTTGTATGAGCACTCTATATATTTTGGAAATTAACCCTTTATCTGATGCATCATTGGTGATTATGGTCTCCCATATAGTGGGATCCCTTTCTGTTTTTTTTAATCCTCACCCGAGGACATTTTTTCCATTTTTTGTACAGATAGAGCGGGAGGGAGAGAGAGAAAGAGAGAGAGAGGGAAACATCGATGTGAAAGGGACACATCGAGTGGCTGCCACCCGCACGACCAACCAGGGCTGGGGACAAACTACAACCGAGGTACATGCCCTTAGCGGGAACCGAACCCGGGTCTCTCCGGACCGCAGGCAGACGCTCTAACCGCTGAGCCAAACTGGCCAGGGCTCCCTTTCTGTTTTGATGATTGTTTCTTTTGCTGTGCAGAAGCTTTTGAGTTTGATATAGTCCCATGTGTTCATTTTTCCCTTTGTTTCTGTTGCCTTAGGTGATGTATCAGTGTAAATTCTGCCGTGTATGATGTCAGATTTTTTTTTTTTTTATCCTCACCCGAGGACATTTTTCCATTTTTTGTTCAGATAGAGTTGGGGAGAGAGAGAGAGAAACATCGACGTGAAAGGGACACATCAAGTGCTTGCCACCTACACGACCCAACCAGGGCTGGGGACAAACTTCAACTGAGGTACATGCTCTTAGTGGGAACCGTACCCGGGTCTCTCTGGACTGCAGGCAGACACTCTAACCGCTGAGCCAAACCGGCCAGGGTGATGTCTGAGATTTTATTGCCTGCATTTTGTACTATAATTTTTATGGATTCACGAGTTACATTTAAGTCTTTTATCCATTTTGAGTTTATTCTCGTGTATGGTATAAGTTGGTGTTCTAGATTCATTTTTTTTTGCAGGTAGCTGTCCAATTTTCTCAATACCATTTATTGAAGAGACTATCTTGACTCCACTGTATGCTCTTGTCACCTTTGTCAAATATTAACTGAGCATATTGTCTTGGGTCAATTTCTGGATTCTCTATTCTGTTTCATTGATCTATCTGCCTGTTTTTGTGCCAGTACCAGATTGTTTTGATTACAGTGGCTTTGTAGTATAACCTGAAATCTGGTAATGTGATCCCTCCAACTTTGTTCTTCTTTTTCAAGATTGATGGGGCTATTTGGGGTCTTTTTTGGTTCCATATAAACTTTTGGAGTGTTTGTTCTAGTTCTGTGAAGTATGTCATTGTTATTTTGATGGGGATTGCATTGAGTCTATAGACTGCTTTGGGTAGTATGGACATTTTAATGATGTTAAGTCTTCCAATCCATGAACAAGGTATGTGCTTCCACTTTTTTATATCTTCCTCTATTTCTAGAATTCTAATTCCAAAACCAGATAAAGACACTACAAAGAAAGAAAATTACAGGCCAATATCCCTGATGAACACAGATGCCAAAATCCTTAATAAAATATCAGCAAATTGGATCCAGCAATACATCAAAAAAATTATTTATCATGACCAAGTGGGTTTCATCCCAGGCATGCAAGGATGGTACAATATTCACAAATCAATAAATGTGACACACCACATAAACAAAAGGAAAGATAAAAATCATATGATCATATCAATAGATGCTGAAAAAACATTCAACAAAATCCAGCACCAATTTTTGATAAAAACACTCAGCGATGTGGGAATAGAGGGATCATATCTCAACATAATAAAGGCCATATATGAAATACCTACAGCCAACATAATACTCAACGGGCAAAAACTAAAAGCATTCCCCTTAAGAACAGGAACAAGACAAGGATGCCCACTTTCGCCACTCTTATTTAACATAGTACTGGAAGTCTTAGCCACAGCAATTAGACATGAAGAAAAAATAAAGGGGATCCAAATTGGAAAGGAGGAAGTGGAACTATTATTATTTGCAGATGACATAATATTTTACATAGAAAACCCTAAAGACTTTATAAAAAATCTACTAGACTTAATAAATGAATTTGGCAAAGTAGGAGGATACAAAATTAACGTCAAGAAATCGACAGCATTCTTATACACCAATGATGAAATCACAGAAAAAGAAACTGAAAAGAAAACCTCATTTACCACTGCAGCAAAAAAATTAAGATACCTAGGAACAAACTTAACCAAAGAAGTAAAGGACCTCTTCACAGAAAACTACAGGTCAGTGAAAAAAAAAAAATAGAGGTTTGGAAGATTTTATGACTAAACATTTCCCTCTCCCAAGGCATATGCACTTAGTTAAACACTGTCTAAATAGTTAACAGATTAATGCTATATTATTTACAATTTTAATGTTTTATTGTGTGGCTGTGGTTTAGACAACTGAAAGGAAATGGTAATTAGTTGTTAGTTGCATGATGGCTGCCACGTGCTTTCTTGGTGCACTGTTTCCATGTAATTAGAGCTATGTGTGCCCTGCAAACAAAGTGATGCCCATACATCTGGCATCATGAAATTAAATTTCCCAGATGGAGGGTAACAATTTCAGATCTGAGGACTTGATTCCTTCAAGCATTTCTCTGGGAAATCAGGAATCTCCCTTGTAAGATGTACAAATTACTTAGGTTCTTGTTCATAATTCAGTATGAATGGAGATTTTTTTTTTCTATCAAACTTGGAAAGCAAAACTCTCTTTCTGAGTAGAGAACTGTACTGGGGATACCTACAGTTCTGAGAGTATCTGGGATGGGCCCTGCCTCTGAGAACCCTGAAAGAGGATGGCTTCTGTAGAGGGTCGACAGTTAGAGGGCTTGGGGTCTCTCAGAGGCCCGGGCAGAAAATGAGCGGTCCAGGGAAGTTTGTTCATTCCCAAGTGAATTGTGTTGTTTCTCTCTGTTTTTTAGAAGCTCCCATAAATAGGCACTAGTTCAAGTCTGATTTTACGGAAATAAAAAAAAACACACACAACCTGTATTTTTTCTTATGTGTGATCTCTTGGTTAAGTATGTGAACAGTCTCCTAGTTTTTTTTTTTTTTATCCTCACCCGAGGACATTTTCCCATTTTTTTGTTCAGGTAGAGTGGGAGGGAGAGAGAGGAACAGAGAGAGAGAGAAACATCGATGCGAAAGGAACACATCGAGTGGCTGCCACCCGCACGACCAACCAGGGCCGGGGACAAACTGCAACCAAGGTACGTGCCCTTAGCAGGAACCGAACCCGGGTCTCTCTGTACCGCAGGCCGACGCTCCAACCGCTGAGCCAAACCGACCAGGGCAATTTCTTATTTTTTTAAATTTTTTAAATCGTTATTGCTGAATGTATTACAGATGTTCCTCATTTTTTCCCCATTGACCCCCTCTTCCCCATTCCCGCCCCCCTCCTGCCTTTTCCCACACTATTGCCTGTGTCCATTGGTTATGCACATATACAAATA